TTGCTTACTGAAGTGCTCCTCCTGTACACAAAGAAGTTAAGTAGCATTCTAACTTTCCAATACATCCCTCGTGTCCAAACTGTCGGGATACTGTATGTATACGGTAGCAGAGCGATAAAATATGCTCAAGCTAGCATATCTTGCCGCAGTTTAATCGGCTCCTAAAAAAATTTCGGGGGTGCAGCTAAAAAACCAAAAAAGAACGATGCAAAGGATTTTGTGCTGCACTCCTCTAAGCAGCAAATTGTTTTCAAAAAACTTTATGCAGCTAGTTTCAACTCAAGTACCCCAGCTAGTTCTGCATTTCTGTTGCAACAAAAGAAAATGGTGTTTTAGGAACTTGTCGCGAAGGAAATCAAAGTGCCTAATGAAATGCAGAACAGTTTAATGATCATTCACTCCTACCTTATCGTTAAGGCAAGTCCATTTTCTACCATTTCAAGAAAAGAGCAAGTTTTTATGCAGTTGTAATACTTTTTATGCACGAAAACTGATTTTATTTCATGTTTTAGCCTTGCTGGTTTATGTTACTTTAACTCGATGCTAATTGCAGAGTCTTCTTCGACGGAATGAGACGCTTAAAGCTGCAAGAATGCTGATACGAGTGATGGGCAACATTAGCAGATTTCCTGCACGTAAGTGCCTAAGTGACCTTAATTCGAAGTAAATTATGAGTCAAAAATATCGTTTTAGATGTGGTGCCAATTTTGACATCAACGGTAGTTGTGTGCTCCAAAGCTGGCCTAAAAGCGGCAGCCCATCGCGCAGCTGTCATGCTTATGCAACCTGAATATCGCCAGAAGATCGACGCAAAATACAAGAAAAAGATCGAGGTATTTGTTAGGTAAGTGCTTTGCTCTATAGTCTTGATGGTCTTCAAATTTTTGATTCTAGGCACTCAGACAGAGGCGAGGATCCGGAAGAAGCACGGCTTCCATGCCCACATTGCGCATATCCGGTACCAGAAACTATACTTGCATGCGATAATTGCAAGTCAACAATACCTTACTGTATAGTTACGGTATGTTCACTGATCTTCCTTCCATATACAGCAGAGAAATAAGTGCTTTAGGGTCGCCACGTAGTTGATTCCGATTTTGCTCAGTGTCCATCGTGCAATTTTCCCGGATTTTTCTCAGAATTGAAGAAGTAGGAATATTTTCGCGATTTCTTGGTCTATCGAGACTACGTTTCCCGGCGCTCATGTTTAAAGTTTTTCAGACTGCTTGCTCTCAACGAAATGTGTCCTATGTGTTCGTCACCGCTCAATGATACGATACCAGGCGATATTGCAGCATTTCTCCATAAAGACAGACAAAACATGGAACAAATGTCTATAAAGTCTTCGTAATGATTGATCTGGAAATATGTGAATGGAATTATGGGAGTCCTGATAACTTCAGAATATTGACTACATTCACAAACTTACTCTGAT